GCCGTGCTGCGCTTGGCCTTCACCCAAGCCGGCGGCATCGCTCTGGCGTGCATTTTGGCCAGCCGGCTGGCGCCGAGGCAACGCGTGGTGGCGAATTGATCGGGAAAAAAAAAAAACTCATTGTTTACGATTCGAGTGTTGTGGTGTCGTTGAAAGCATGTGCGTGGAGTTTGACATTAGTGAAAAAGATGGCGCCACAGCCCTGCCCAAAAAGGACGTTTGTGCAGTTGAAGCGTTTAAGAGATACAGCTCGGCTGAGAAACAATTTCGGTATGTCAGGCCTGAGCTAAGTTTAACCTGGGTTGTGATGGAGAGTCAGCACCTGAAGAGATCAAATTCCTCATTGTTTACGATTCGAGTGTTGTGGTGTCGTTGAAAGCATGTGCGTGGAGTTTGACATTAGTGAAAAAGATGGCGCCACAGCCCTGCCCAAAAAGGACGTTTGTGCAGTTGAAGCGTTTAAGAGATACAGCTCGGCTGAGAAACAATTTCGGTATGTCAGGCCTGAGCTAAGTTTAACCTGGGTTGTGATGGAGAGTCAGCACCTGAAGAGATCAAATTACCTGCAATTTGTGGGGGTTGTCAATTACACTATTCGCAGTTTATGGAGCCCTGACCTTGAAGATTACTGTACTTTACATGAGAAGGAAAAAATGATTTGCATGCTGTTCAGGTGAGATTTTTTTCCATGCAGTGACTAACAGCTAAAGGTGCTCGCGATACGATGTGAAAATGTCACGAGCCTGTCTTAAGTGTCGTCTGAAAAGATTGGTTCCCATTGTTGTTGGAATTCGATATCGACTCTGCTGCCTTGGCTTCCAAAGCTTTGGACTTCATTGTTTAAACTCCAGATGTCTTTCTGTCTGTACAGTTTTTTTTTTTTTCTATTGTGTATCTCCACAAAAATAAAGCACGGACGAATGTCCTATGTGTCCACAATTCACGTCAATACAGGACTATTCCCTTTGGTCGGAGATTGCGATATCGATCGAACCGTGAAGGTGAAGATCCGCAACTTCCTCTCAACGGCCATTAAATTCTGCGCCGACCCTTGTCGCCGCACATAATTGCAAACGCCACGCAGCGATGATGATGATGATGATGATGATGATGACGATGACGACGTGCGCCCTTGTGGTGGGAACACAACCGCAAATCATCATTAGTGCCGCAAGTCGACGACTATAAACGTCTGCATCCGCGCTTTGTTTTCAGGAGCTATTGATTAGCCTACATTATGGTCTGGCGAGCGAGGCTTGCGCATCACTGCGCTGGCCTTGTTTAACCCGATTGTTGACCCTCTCACGCGCACACAGGAAAGTAACTCGAGGCCTCCCGGGGGGGGGGGGACGGCTGCTCTGCACCTGACGTCTGGGAAGTTTGGTGGGGGAAAAGTCCGCAGTAGTAGTACATGCACCATGCATTAGTGTCAAATACCAAGATAAAGCAGCATGGAGGAAGTAAGGAACAACCCCCCCCCCCCCCCGCACCACTTTCCCCCCCCCCCCAGTCCCTTCCCGGAAAAAAATGTAATTGGGGACATCACCAAATATGGGCGTGTCCTCTGAATCCTCTTATTTGCTTTGTGGTTTAGGCCGCAAGGAATTTCGGCAAGCCAAGCCAGAAAGCGGTTCCACCTTTCGACTCGTATGCTTTGGAATGTGGAAAAAAGGCAGACAGCCGCCCCGTTTGTTTCAGCTTGAGGAAAATCGCGCTTTGCTGCGGATGCCGCGGCTCCGCTCCACATCGGCAGACATGTTTTTCCCCGCTTTGCACTTTGCACCGCAATCCGCGTGAGCAACAGCGCTTGTCCCACATCGGCCGCCCCCCCAGCGCCGCCGCAGCTGCGGGACATGCGAGCGAGCTGAGCTGCGCGCGCCGGCCAGGAGGGGAGGGGGGCGGAAATTTTAAAACAAAACATGGACTTTAAATCGGAGCTGCTCAAGTCCATCTGGTACGCCTTCACCTCGCTGGATGTGGAGAAGTGCGGAAAAGTGTCCAAATCTCAGCTGAAGGTAAGCGGCAAGTCTTTATTTCGATGGCCGCTGTCGAAGAGGGCGGCGGTGGAAGGGCAAAGGGCAGCAAAGTCGACGTTTGCTTTCTATTCAAGCTTTTTTTTTTTCTTCTTGCGCCAGGGGGAGTGATCGGCGTTATCTGAAGTCCAAATGTTTGACATCACCGCCTTTTATGCACTTGTTTAAAAATAATAATAAAAAAAAGAATAGTCACGGTTTATGACCATTTGGGTGTCTCAGGGTTTGTTTTTTGCTAAAGTGGAAGCTCGGCTAGGTAAAAAGAATCCAGGGAACTTGTGGAAAGCTGTCCTGACTTGTCGCAGTCTCTGCCTCCTCCTCT